GGAATGAGGGTAGGGGCTGGCAGACACTGCCTTCCCCTCCTACCACCACCTTCTATGTCATTTTTTCCTAATTTCATTCACAGGCAGGCTCAGAATACCTGAGTCTGAAAAATACTAGGATAACACTTGTAAATTTGTGACAATCACTACAATATCCCGTATCTGAGGGTTCTTTTTAGAATGCAATTTATCCACTAACACTACTGCACATTAGAACAGCATAATCTTCCAGCTCTACGGAAGAATAAAAACTTTTGGCTTATCCTAAGATTCCTTTCCAAGGTCATAAACAAGAAATCCTCCTCCCTAATAAAAAGACCACATTTTAGTAACATCAGATCTCTTTTCCTTATCATTTATTCGTCCCACACTTTTAGTTCTAAGTCCCACCCTTTTTCTTTTTTCTTTTTCTAGAATAAAAGGAGGGGAGGGTGATGAAATGTAGGAACAACTGAATATCCCTGTCTATTTTCTCAGGAGCCCTTTGCATTCTAGCAGATCTGTGCAGTCTTTCCTTTTTTTCACATGACAATGTAGGCTTAGGCTTGAAATAACTGGGAAGAGAAATGTGTATCAGAATTTCTCAGCAAGAACACAAAACATATATCTTCTTTAGCATGAATTGGAATGGGAGTGGGAGGACTTGAAGGAAGAAGGAAAGAAAGAACTATATTTGAATAAATATGAATAAATTTATTAGATACTTTTCACAATCGTATAACTAAAAATGGTTATTTTTATCTTTCTAAGGACATAAGCCTTAATAACATCAACTCTTAGTCATAAATTTGAAGAGATTGCCCAGTAATGAATTTATGTGTATTTGAACTGAAAAATTGTTAACCATGCTTTTGCTCCAAAATGTGTGAGACCCTTTAGGGACTGTGGGCCCTGGAAATGCACACAAACAAGTGTGTGTATATCTGAAGCCCCACACATTGTAATAAACACAGCTGCATTTATTTGAGTATGTGCTCCCATGTACACGTAAAAATATTTAAACAAACACACTCAGCAGATTTATTGGATTGTGCAGTGGGGCAATTATTCAAATAAACATTGCTCAATGCAATTATTTGAGTCTCACATTGCATGTACATCAATCACAGTACTAAAATGGGGCAGGGGAGGGAACACCAAAGAGTTTATGTGGGAAAAATATATGTGAAAACAACCTTATTATAGATGTTATAGGGTAGCCAAAGTTATGGCCCCCTCCTTAACTGTGACTCAACTATTCTGTATTCGATGACATTTGTTTCTAATGATTAATTAATCCACTCACTTGATCACTATATCAGAATGACCACAACATTCAGATTTACAAAACGCAAACTTTATAAACCTGAAGTGTTTAAGGAGATGAAATGTCTATATTTCAAGAGCAGAATGGTTCTTTCCAGATACCTTATAGCAAGGGGATACTGGTCAAAGTATTATGACCTAAATACATACCTAGACATTGAAAAACTTTTATACATGCAGCAAACATTCCTACATTTGAAGACATTGAAAAAAACACAGGTGACTCATCTGATCATTTGATATATTAGTAAATGTTACAATGTATGTGAACACATCACAATCATATTGGTGAACCAAAAGGCAATTCTCGCCTCTCTGAAGTATGTACTGACGTAGCCTAATATACTAAAATGGGAGGGGCTTTTAGTCACTGAAATATGCATCGTGTAACAAAGATGAAGAAACTACATGGCTTGTGCCCATCATAAAAAAAGATTCAGACTGAAGGCTTAGCTTTGGTTTTTATTCAATTAAATTGTTAAACTGTGCACAGTGAATTTTTTTTTTAGAACTTGAGACATTTGTGATGTTGGCTGTTTAAATCTTTGTTACCTTCGCTGTGAATTGAAATTGTACATATTTAGTAAATCATGCAGACAAACAAACTTTTTAGACAATATTTTTATTGGAGAGTTTTCTTTTCCTGTATCCATGTTTTAAAAAAAAAAAAAGATCTCCTTTCCCAAAATAAAAAATGTCAATACTAAATTTAAAGAACTATAAAGGAATGATTGCTTCCTTTAGAACAAAATATTTAAATAAACATGGAGATAATTGGCAACATGTTCTTCTTGGGCTATTAGGCCGTGTCCAATTTTTTGGGTCTGATGTTTCATAGGGCCTCTGTTTTAGGGTTGAAGACGATATATTAATCTCTGAATTAAACAAATGTTGTTAAATAACAGAAATAAATCCCTCAGTCTTTATTTTGTATATTAGATATAGAAACAGAGAAATGACACTGAGATGATATGACGCTGAATATGCCACAAGCTAAAACTGTTTCAGTCACCTATCACCTATAATCTAGTATGACATGTTAAAATGCTCCAAAATATTGAAAATAGAAAATGAGCACCATCACTCCCATTTGGCCTTGAGAAGAATATGACAAAGATTCTAATAATTTTAGTCAAAGAAAATGATGAGTAAAAAATACATGAAGATTAAAGCATTGACAAATGATCTTTTAAGT